AAAGATCTGTCTCAAATGCTTTCTGTTCATTTACATTTGCTGCATCAGAAGGCCCTATATGAACTGAGACATTTTATTATTTTCCTGTTTCTGCCCTAATCTTCATTACCTGCAGTGAATTCTCTACACAGTGATCTTCATACGGGCCTTTAGACCTCCAATCCAAGCGTTCAGCTGTTGCCATGGGTACCATTTCCATCTCGTCAGCATTTCTGAGGTCCTCCCGGAGCGAGGTAATTTGCCCTCTCCTCTTTCCTTACAGTTTTGTATTCTTTCCAACCCTTGTTTTTTCCTCCTTTAGAAGATGGGGAAAAATAAACCCGTCCTCTGTTCTTGACAGGAATGACTATTCCTTCTCCTGTTCTTTCTCTCAAATTCATTCACCCAGTGTTTGGCACCAACAATCTTCACTCCTCCTACTCTTACTCCATCTCTCTACAGTATCTTTAACAATGTGTATATTTCCACAGGCTGAGGGGCTGAGTTGGGAGGAAATTGAAAGAGAATGTGCATCTGCTGCTGATTTTAGCTGAACGGGATCACTCAGATCCTGAGAGCTCAAATGTGCCTTAATTTCCTTAGGGAATCTCAAGGAACTCATCTGATGTATAAATTGAGCTATATCATCGAGGGAAGTAATTGTTTAGAAGATTAGAAAGCCTTAAATGTCTTACTTATGTGCAGGATTTGACCTTTATGTTTCTGCTGCAGGCATGTTAACAGCATGAACCTGGTACCAGGAGCTCTGGCGTGGATACTACTCATTAAAAACAACATCTGAAACTAAGATATTCAAAATAAACCAGCTTCAATATTGAATAAAAGAACATTATATTCAACACTGCTGGTATATTATGTAATAATAATGTGATATTTCCTCCCTACAGGGGAATTTTTAAAAAGTGCATATCAGACTTGAGCTATAAACCAGCTGGCAGAGATTCAGGAGGATGTTTAAAGACACGCTGGAGGCTTAGAACCAAAGTTCTCTGGATAAATGGTGACTTTGTACAATGCACAAGTATTGCACTAACAGGAACAATAAACAACCACAAGCATAAACTGACCCATACGAATCCATGAGGCTGGAACCTTCTTTGAGCTTTCTTTTGGATGGACATGGATTACGCTTCCACTCAGAACGGATCAGAAAATGAAAGACTCGGCTCATAATTACAACCATAATCCGTGGGAATTCCACATGATGCTTTAACTGAAACCGGACCACGTATAGCTCACATCCATGAGAACAAATGGACCTGCTGTTCAGCGGATCAGTTGGACGGGCAAGAGCACATGCACAGCTGGGATAACTGATCTCTACATCCTTTCTATACATAGACGTGGGAGTATTCTTAGTGCCAATCTGTACTAGCAGCAAAGATGACAAACATAAACTACAAGAGGAGAATTATTGAGTCTAAGACTGGGGAATAAACCACATTTAAATGCAGTTTCAATTACTTTAATTAGTGGATTTGCTTACCCATGCAAGGCCGACATAAACCTTTATGGCAAGAGCTCACATTATATATCCGAGCTGATGTAAAACAAGTTAATATGTCACACAAGGAAGGTGCTTACGAGTTCAGATAGCCCTGTAAGGTCACCTAACAATGACCACAGGCTGCAGAGGCCATAGACTCAATATCTTTTTCACTTACAGAGGCTGTGACAGATGCAATTCAATTACCACTCACTGAAAAGCAAGAAGATTAAAAAAACACCCGACATCTAAAGCTCAATCTCTTTTTTCAAGACGATTTTCTGTCATAACAAATGACTACAAAAAGTCAAACAGACTACTGAGCAGACTTCAGAGGATTTGGCAAGAATGTAAATTCATAAAAGATGACAGATATGATAAACAAGCTATTTTTGGATGAGTGACAAACATGATCAAATCAGGAATTCCTGCGTGATGGGAGAATAAATCCAACTACAAAAAGCTTTTTTTTATATATATTTTAAAAACCCAACGTTTTAAATCTGGAGTATGTCGATAACAACGTCACACCAACCAACACATGACAATAACAGAGCTTGTGGTTATTTAAGAAGCAAAAAAAAAAGCCAACATACAGAACTAGTGCTTTCATACACATGGAGAGGTTGAAGAAACAACCAAGCGTAGGAAATCAAATGCATTGATTAGCTGATCATTAGCAAGGTGTGAACGCCTCAATTAAAGCAGAGGTTTTGGTAGTTTGTTGGTCCAGATGTGTGTAAACACAAAGTCAAGGAGGACAAACATCTGAAGCTGATGTTTCTGACAATCAATCAAAGAAAATGTTGTGAAGACAATTCCACAGACTTTGGAGGCCAATGTTACAAAGTAAAGAGAACCCGTCCGAGTGGAGAACATACAAAGTTGCCTATGTTCACAGGGGTTTACATCAAACCCAGAGAGATTGTTAAAAAAAACAACAACCAAAGAGCAACATCTAAGATTCTAGACTTCTGAAACGTTATGTGATTGGAACAACGTCCTTTTAGATGATAAAGTCAAAGGAGATGTTCAGCCATAATCTAGTAACTCATTCAATGAACATGGAGGTCACTAGTGGAAACTAAATGTGTCTTTCTAATGGAAGTCATTTTCAATTCATAACCATTTGTCCTATTTCCAACACATTTACTTTTTACAGCAATATCATCATATTTTCTGTTTTCTTGGTGACAGTGTGGCCTATTATTGGACTTGAAAACAACAAGTTATTCTTCTTATAACTATGTACCACATTTTTCAGACTATAAGGCACACTTACTGACCTTGAACTGGTTTTATGTGATACACGGTGCTCAAAGATGTGTCAAAATGAACTTGTTTTGCTTAATGCGCCTTATAATCCCATGAGCCTCGTGTATGAAAACAAACCCGTTCATTGGTATTGCGCCTTATAATCCGGCGCGCCTAAAGCCCCCAGTATACTGCCGCGTACATCCATACGCAGAGGTACACACATACGTACGCAGAGGTACGTGCGTACCCCCCAGCGTACCCTCCGTGCAAACCTCAAATTTTTACGACCGCATCTGCGCACGCGGTGTCGCACAATAAACTGCCCAGCGAGGGACTGTTTTGTATGCGACACCAATGTATTAAAATCCCATTCTTCATCCCTGATCTGGCCTTTTCTTTTGTTTTTTTTTGCCAAAACTCAAGCGATCTCGTCCTCCTCCATTGATGCCATGACTGAAATGGTGAGAAATGGAGGAATTTGTCACGAGCGAATAAAACTCAGGTCCAGCATGGCTGTGGGAGGGTCTGGAGATTTCCTGGTGGGCTGGTCTGATGTGTGGGCTGTAGAGCCAGCGCTCTCTGTTTTTTTTTTTTTTTTTTAAGATCTTTTTATTAACAACATAGAACACAGAACACCGCTGCGTGAGGCTGCCAGCGCTCGCTTTTTTTCTTTTTTCCGACCTGTCAATCAATCCAGTAGGCGTGTCAACAAATGACCAATTGGCGACCTTAATTTGTCCCGAAGGTAAACGCCCCTTGTCTGCGAAGCTGCTCTGCAGCTGCTCAGGGTGTACGCTGGAGTATCATGTCTGAACCCTCTGCGTACCATACACGCGTACGTACGCGTGTACGGACATAAGCGGCAGTAAACTGGAGGCTTTACGCTCTGAAAAATACAACTACAATCGTTTTTGACAGGAACACAAGAGCTTGCTGCACTCCTTTTTTTATTATATTTCAATAAAGTATTGGCCTTTAACGTATGAGAGAGAATGTTATTGTTAACTACCGGTGAAGATTCATTCAACTAGGGATGCACGATATTGGATTTCTGGCCGGTATCCGATATGTTAAAACTTATTCAGCCGATAACCGATGCTGATACCAATATTTTATATGTTCCTTCGTCAGAACATATCCCTCTTATTTAGGCTTATTTCCTACAAAACTTGTGCAACAGCTCTAAGAGCTGGTGACGTATATTCAGTAACAGCCATATGATATGAATAGCACTTTAACTTGCATGAAAAGTGTTAAACATTATTTATTAGCATTAGTCACCTGCGATGCTGTCTCACTTGTGGAGGCTTGTTCCAGGTTCCTAGCTGCAGTGTGGGATCCTCTGCACTCCTGTGCCTTTTTAAGTTCAAAGTTTTTGTCTATCCATTGTGCCGTAAGACTAATCATGCTAACGGGGCTAACACGACGTGGTAAAACTCACCCAACAAGTCGTGCTATCGGCTATTAACTTCTCAATGACGTCTGAAACGACGGCTTGTGACTCTGGTAACGCTATGTCGGAAAAATATCTGACTGGGGACGATGTAGCGAGGCTCAGCGTAGTCCATAAATCTTCAGAATCAGACATCCTCACCAACGAAAAATAAAACTTCCACACCGCTGACATTTTGAATTTTCCTCTCCTCCGTGAGATCAGGAAGGCGCGCGTGACGTCATCACGTTGTGCTGCTGCTGCAGGCGAACACAGCGCCTTTTATATCGGCGACTTATTTTAATGGAATGGCCGATATTTAACTTTAACGCTAATATCGGCCGTTACCGATACCGTGCCGATAATATCGTGCATCCCTACATTTAACTTTTCTTCATACTCATTGAGCCACGGGGACTCAGTTGCAATAAGGACCTGTGGCAAAGATCATTAATTGCATCTGTTTTTGTTTTGTTTTTTTTAACACATATGATTTGCATTATTTTTTAATAAAAGGTCTAATAGCTGTGGTTTGAGTGAAACCATAACCTATTGCTGTTTCTGCTGGGAGTTGTGCAAAAATGTTCAGCATTCATGACTTCAACTTTCATTCTTTACAAAGGAAGATTCCCCAATCAGTCAAGCTGATGCATAAGAAAGCGAACTTTCTCCACATCATGAGGAAGAGTATTTATCAGACACTCATCGTAGCCACTGGGAGTTAAAAGGGGTTCATTAAATCAGACCTAAAAGCTGAGCTGAAAGCTGCTGGCAAGAGTCAGAACAACGAGCAAATGGATGGATGCGATCAGGAAATCATCTCACCATGTCCGCCGGGGTGCTGCTCGTCATCCTGAAGGTGTTTCCTGATCTCCGAGGAGCTTCACACGTTCATAAACACACACGGTCACACCAGAGATGGACACAGGAACACACAAAGAAAGAAAAAACCTGACGTCCTCTTCGTGGGGTTTAGCAGCACTCAGAAACACAATGTCCTCCTGACGACTCTTCGTCACCGAGGTAAAGACGGGTTAAAATGCCTCTTCCGCTTTCTACTATTGCACAATCATGTCGTCGACTAGCCCGAACACAAATGAGGTGTTTAAGTTAGTGAGGGAAGCTGTCGACCCGAGGGCCCTGCGTTAACCCGTCAAACATCTACACTACCCCGCTGTGGGGAAAGGTGTCTCTACGTGGAGAAAAAAATAAAAATACGGACTCTTGATGGAAAAACAATAAAAATGTCCTCAACATAAACAGCTACTGTCCTTCGTTGTGACTGTGGTGTCGGGGAAAATGCGGCGCACGCGTGAACGCGTCAGTCCTTGTCCTTAAAGTGCGTGGAAACGCAGTCGCTGGACAGCTCTGCTGCTGCTGCTGCTGTACCCCTACGACCCGCTCAGCTGTCTTCCTGCCTCCTAACCGTCGTCAAGTTAGGACCGGAACAAGACGCGGAGCTTCCGGTTGCTGCTTTCAAAATAAGACGTTATTTAATTCACTGCTGAAAAAATGGAAATGATTGCTAACAGTAACTAATTGTAACCTTTTCAAGTTTTTATTATAGGCTATTTATTATGTTAGCGTGTTGTTTTCCTAACTTGTTTCCTAACTGGTGCATAAATTTGTAGTAACATCCAATAGACTTTTATTGGTCGATTGGTAACTCTAAATTGTCCCCCAGGTGTGAGTTTCTCGTTTGTCTCTATGTGTCCCTGTGATGGACTTGCGACCTGTCCAGGGTGTACCCCGCCCCTCACACAGGGATTGCTGGACATGAGCACCGGTGACCCCCATGACCCAAAATTGAAGAAGCAGGTAAATGTTAATGGATGGAGGGGTGGTTGTTGATTGGTTGTTGATTGTTGCGGAGAGTGGTGAGGGCTGCACAGGGGACTGTCGGAGTCGGCATCCCCACTGTCACAGACATCTGCGCCTCCGGATGCAGGAAGAGGGCTGCCTGCATCATGGGGGACCTCACTCACCCAGCACACACACTTTTTGCCCCGCTCCCCTCGGGAAGGAGGTTGAGGAGCATTAAGTGTAGAACCACTAGACTGAGGAACAGCTTCTACCTTGAGGCTGTTAGACTCATGAATCTCTGGCTAGAATAATCGCTGTGAAGGATAGCGTCATGTTGCTGCTGATCTGTTTCAATGTTGATGTGTTCATGCGTGCACATCCGCTCACGCAGACTCATGTTCATGTTTGTGCTGATGTTCAATGTTTTATGTTATGAGTGCTTAGTGTATATTTAGTTGATGTTTTTCTTGGTTCATATCTTAGATGTTATTACTGTTTTTCTTATACATTTTATTGTTGGATGTAACTGGGACCCTGTGTACATAATTTCGCTCCACCACATGTACCACATGAGGTGCGAATGACAATAAAGAATCTCTGACTCTGATTGGTAACTCTAAATTGTCCCTAGGTGTGAGTGACAGAGTGAATGGTTGTTTGTCTTGTTTGTATGTGTCCCTGTGATGGACTGGAGACCTGTCCAGGGTGTACCCCGTCTCTCGCACAGTGATAGCTGGACATGGACACCAGTAGACCCCGCGACCTGAAAAGGGAGAAGCAGGTAAATGATAATGGATGGATGGATGGTCATTTGTGTATATTTGCTACCATCACTGACTATCAATCCAATCAATCAATCAATCAATAAACTTTATTTCTATAGCACATTTTAAAAACCGCAGGGGTAGACAAAGTGTTGTACAATAAGACAAAAAATGAAGATTAAGACAATAAAAACATAGAAAGGATATACTATACAAAGAAACATAAAAACATACACATACCAGTTTCATGGCAGGTGTGTTTTAAGGTGCCATACAAGATAGGATAATGTGTTAAAAGCCAAAAAATAAAAGTGTGTTTTTAAAAAAAGATTTAAAAGCAGGAAGAGAGGAGGCCTGTCTGACACTCAAGGGTAAATTATTCCTTAACCTGGGAGCAGCAACAACAAAAGCTCTGTCACCTCTGAGCTTCAGCCTAGTTTTAAGGACTGTCAGCAGCAACTGATCAGCTGATCTTAGGGATCGGGGTGGGCAGTAAGGCTGAAGCTATGACTATGGTCTCCTTATCCAATAAAAATTATTCAAAATCATTCTTAAATGTGAACTATTGTCTTTATGTTTGCTATTATTATTGGTTAGTGTTCTAACAATATATCCTACTGAAGTTGAATGTATGGGGCTCGTGGTGCCAGAGTTTATGCACGCCTATCAGTATCTGTTAAAAAGGTCAATTATTGGAAGCTCCTCTTGAAATATTCATTCAAAGGCGGTCAAACAATGCAGACCTTTGTAAAAGCTATGCAAGATCAGCCTGTTTGGATCTACATTAAAATCATAATAGTTGTCAAAATGTGCAATTTTTCAGAGCTTTTTATTTGAATTTTTTTGTACAAACGTGTATCATTTAAAAAAACAAAAACACTAACTGTGCATCATTCATTACCAAAATTCTACTGCATAATTTGTAATAGAAGAGCGAAATCAGCAGCCAACACTTACCAGCATTCACAAGTGGTTTGTTTACATGAGAACATTAACAAGTGTCATATGAGTCGGTAAAATAATCCAGGAATGTAAAGAAAGTCAGACGGAGAACAATGGTTAGAAGAGAAAAGGTAAAGGTCTTTTATCTACAGAACAGAAACAAATAAAGTTGTGAGGACAAGACTTCTTCGATAGAAATAGTCATTTTGCGGGAGGAAATTGAGCAGTGAAGAGTTAAAGCAAAAGCTGGGTCTTGATTCGTTTGCAAATGAGCTGTGCCGAAATATTATGAACTCTTATGAAAGGAAGTTCATTACTGATCGTTAAATTCGGTTGTAAAAAAAATAAATATATATATCAATCAATCAACCTTTATTTATACAGGTAAATCCCATTGAGCCTCGAGGACTCATTTACAAGAGAGACCTGATTTCAACAAAGAAAGATGACAACAATGGACAACAGC